CCCCAAAAAAAAAAAAAAAAAAGTTACAAGTGAGGACCCTGCATCGCACCCCCCCCCCCCCTGCAGGCGAGGTGCTTGGCAGTGGCACAGCCTCCTCCACTGGGTCTTCCGGCCTTTTCTGATTTGCCAATTTGGCTTTTTAGGCTTTAGGGCTGGGGCTTCGGGTTTAGAATTGGGTTTTGGGGCTTAGATTTAGGGTTTAGGGTTTAGGGTTTAGGGTTTAGGGGGGGCTTAGATTTAGGTGACCCTGTCAAGGAACTTCAGCTTTTTTCGCTAAACATGCATAGTTTCAATAAGTGTTCCTGGCCGGGACACCGAAGCTAAGTTAACCTAAGTTAAGCCTAAACCCTAAACCCTATATCCCATGACAGAAGACCGAGGCTCCCCGAAGGTCCTCCTCTACTGCTAACCTCAGTGAAGTCCTCACAGCACCTAAAGGCAAAGAATCCCAAACCAGGAACCCACAACCCTCAAACCACAAAAATCCCAAGACCCTGCCATGCTCCAGAACTTGCCTAAAATCCTATAGCCTCCAAAAACCGACACAGTTAAAGGAACCCTGCAAGGCCACCCAGAGCAGCCTACACAATATAGGTGCCTTAAACGTTAGAACAGGGTTTTGGGGTACATTATAATATAATTATAGTAAGGAACCCCCCCCAAAAAAAAAAAGAGTATAGGTAATTTTTGAGGCCCCCACATTATATCCCGTGAAGGAACCCCTCGGCTGCTTGAAGGAACACCCTAAACCCTAAACCCTAAACCCCTAAACCCTAAACCCTAAACCCTAAACCCTAAACCCTAAACCCCTAAACCCTAAACCCTAACCACAAAATCCGGAGTTCAATCTCCGTGGCATCTGCGGCAGGGGCCGGGGAGCCAGGTCCTTGCGTTGAGACTTCTTAGAGCGTATATGGGGCTCCAAGGGGGCGTTTTACAAGGGTAGGGTTTAGGGTTTAGGGTTTAGGTTTTAGGGTTTAGGGTTTAGGGTTTAGGGTTTAGGGTTTAGGGTTAGGGTTTAGGGTTTAGGGGTCTCATGTAGCCAGAAGTATCCGCAACGGTTTGGGATCTGGTGCTTGTAGAGCCCAAATATGTCCCACATGGGAACATGGACCCTTAGCGCTCGTGTTGACTTCTTTCTGCAAGACTACCGTTGGACTTAACTTTGGAGGGTTCAGGGGTTTGGCTTTAGCAGGGGTAGGGTTTAGAATTTAAGGTTTCAGGATAGAGTGTTGAAGTTTTAGGGCTGGGGTCTGGGGCTCCGCAAACTGAAGAGAGACACATCAACAGAGGCCACACAGTCCTGAGTAGTAGGGGTGTGGGCTACACTAAGTTGTGGCATCCAAGCAGAACCTTGATGTTGCCAAGGCTTCTGGCCTTGAAATTCAATGCATAGTTGGTTCACTTCTTAGCAGGATGTCGGGTTCCAAATGGTTCTAGGCAATCATCGGACACGGTGTTGCAGTATCAAGTTTAAGACGTTCATTTCATTTACATACGATTGTCGACGTTCTTTTTGTTGTTACTATTCCCGCGTTCAACACGATCATTCCACTAACATAACACTGTCTTTAGAATGGTTATAACTGTCGTCATTGTTATGTGGTATTACTAGCAACACTATTAATCTGAACATGATTCCTACCGTGTCTATCGAAGCTTTCTTTTGTTGTTCAGCTGTGTTACAGGAAACTACAGGCGGGGAGTTTGGGGTCTATAGGGCTTCTATAGGGCTTCCATAAGGCATATAGACCTTGTATAAGGCTCCTAAAACGGTAGCCAGCCACCTGAAAATGTCTTAGACTATGAATCCCAAACCCCGTTGGTTGCTATCATGGCTGCATACCCCAAACCCTAAACCCTAAACCCTCAACCCCCGCCAAACCCTCACTCCATCACCACAAACCCGAAACCCTGACACCCCATAACTGGAAATCCCAAGCTCTATACCCTAAACCCTAAGCCCTAAACCCTAACTAAACCCTCTAAAGCCCGAAGCTCTAAAAACCCGCAAAGGCAGATTCAGCGCCTTGGTCGTAAAGTTCGTAGCCATGGGCTGGCCCCTTCCTGCGGGGGCGGCTGCATGTGGTGTGCCTTGCAAAGGAGCATGTTTAGGTTTAGGGTTTCGGGCCATTTAGGGCTTAGGGTTTAGAGGGCTTAGGGCTCAGAGGGTTTCGAGCTCACAGTTTAGAGTTTAGAGATTGGAGTTTAGGGATAGAATTCAGAGTTTAGGTTTTGGGGAATAGACTCAGGTGGGTGTCTTGGTGGTGTCTTCACTTCCTTCACCCTGCTCGAAGCAACCGTTTTCTTCCTAAGACTTTACTGGCATTATGGTTTCGGACTTGGTGCGTTTAGGGTTTAGGTAAACCAGAGATGGAAATGCGTAGAAGGCTTCGGAATGCTATGACTGGGCCGAAGATATGATTGAGTGATATGCGACACGACTGCGCAAGTAAATCCTAAACTGCCTTCAAGCCTAAGCCCCTATTACTTAAACCTGGATACGCGGAACGGATTCTTCAACCTACCTTCTGTGGACTAAAGCACTAAACAGGTTTTACTTTTACCAAGCCCGGATGCATGCGCGCTATTGCATCCCTTACCGCCGCTGTAACTCATTGCTACCTCATCACCCTCGACGAAACCCGTTGACATTCTTAGCAGTCGCTGCAGCAGCAAGAACAACAAGGACAATAGCAAGGAGGAGCAAATGCAGACCAGAGCCGCGTCAAGCCAACAGCACCAGCACCCGATTTAGCAGCCAGCCACAAAAATAATAAGACACAGAAGAATAATACAAAGACTGTGAATAGTGAACATGATAGCAACCACAACCACGACGGCGACAACAACAGCACTCGTACAAAGACTCAGCACTACATCCAAAAAAATGCTTGCACGAATTCCACTGCCAATGTACTCATCAGGAACATGGAACCAGTATTAGCAATTGTGAAGGTGATGATGGCCCGGGCAACGAGATCCGCAGTTCAAACTCGCGACCGCAGCAAGTTTGGGCAATAGCAGCTGTGATCACAGCAGTAGGATTCGTTTTTACTGACAAGTAAAGGCGTATGAGAAATCGCAACTTGGAACTGCAAGAGCACGAATGTTTGCTGTATCGTGCAGCAGCACCAGCTCAAAAGCAGCATGGTCGTCGGTTCAACCTTTGTGGCCGTAAACCCCGTATGCACCCCTGTTGCATCCTAAACCCTAAACTCTAAACCCTAGACCCCATCCTAAACGAAGTGCGGCCGGGAAGCCAGGAGGCGTCCTCGTGCGCATGGACTGCGCATCCTGTTCGCATGAGCTCTTGAGTCGGGTCGGCCCAGTGTCTATAGTAAACCCCGAAAAATTGGAATCCGGATAAGGGCAATTAGCGCTGGGATTCCTTATGCATTACTCTCAAGGATTGAGGATAGTGGGTTTCCAACGTGTGGGCTTCTACTGTATGGCTCGGGTCGAGGGTAGATTGGGGGACGTTAGTGTTTGGTAGGGTCTAATGTAAAAGCCTAAATTAAAATAGGCGAAGCGATGAATGTAGGGGACTCAACAACTTTTTCTGGGTTTTGGGGCCCTGAAGAGTGTTTATGAATAGGTACCTCTATAGAAACCAAAAGGGACATGTTAAAGTTCCCCAAAGGGCCACCTAGTTCTGCAACCTTTACATAATGGAGCTGTAAAGATAAGTGCACAGTGGCTTCGGAATAAGTCTGACCGCGGAAGTTTCTGAGAATTGCCTTGTACGAGTACAGAACCACTTTGCTTTCTTTCCACCATCTTGAGGAGACCCGCGTGATAGTGGCCTGGAAAACCGCCTGCCCTTGTAAATAATTGATTTTCGGGATTCCATTTTTTGAGGTGTCCTAAACCCAAAGCCCTCAAAGCCCTCAAACCTAAAGCCCAAACCCGAAACATCACGGTCTGATGCTGGAGGGCTTAGGGGCATCACTTTGAGGCTCCCAGGATCTTGACAGCCCATGGCTGCAAGTCTCCAGACCGTGATATGGGAGTTTCCGAAAATTAGGGGTACCTTATTTGGGGGTCCTTAAAAGGATCCTACTATTTAGGGTACTATATTAGGGTCCCCTATTTTCTGAAACCCCCATATCTGATCGGGTCCCCTATTTTCTGAAACCCCCATATCTGATCCTCTGAAAGCATCGACCCTGCAGGTTTACAGCACCACTCATGTGGTCGGAAGGAGGAAACCGGATAAAAGAACGATCATCCCCTGATCTCCCTCTAGGATTTAGTGCAGGGTTGAGGGTTTAGGGTGTAGGGTCCCACCTTCACCACCGTTTGCGGAGTACCTCGTGCACTTGGGCGGGGGGTGAAGCAAGGGTCCCTTCCCCACAGCGATAGGCTTCTCCACGACCGTTAACCTCCCACCTCCAGAAAACTACAAGAGGGAAGAAGGAATACACCCGCTGAGCCACGAGCACTACATCCTACTTAAGCCCCGAAAAATAGACTAAACCCCGAAACAGTGTAACCATCACGCAAGAACCTGATTAAGAAACCCTGGCCTATAATCCCAAAATATTAGGCTTTATACAAAGAGCCCTAACAAAGACCCAAGGTTTCTAAATCAAGTTGCTAGGGCTTTGGGGGTTTAGGGTTTAGGGCTTTAGGGGTTTAGGGCAAGAGAACCATGCACTTGCCAATTTGCCCAGGACAGCAACAGAAAATCGGCCCCGGCCGAAGCGGTCAGAGGTTCCTATTCGGATTCCCTCTAACCTCTTAATCCCCTCCCCAGTGACCCACCCCTGATGGAGGGGGGGGTGCGTCTGTGCAAGACAGCCGGAGATTCCTGCTCAAAGCTCGCGAGGTCAGGGAGGGTTTAGATGCAAACCCCCAGAAAAGCTGTCAGGCTTCAAAGCCACTCTTTTCTCAGCTGCTGCTGCTGTCGCTGCTCGACGAGCTGTCAGAAGAAGCCTCTGCTCGGGCGAAGTCTCGTCGGCGCTTCCGCCTTTGGCGTCTCACGCCCAACTTGACCAACTCGCTTTCAAAGGTCGGGGCTCGGTGCCGCCTTTCCAGTGCATTCGGCAAGCATCGTTCCTAACATATATTCTTAATTTTATAGTTATATTATATTTCCTCTTCTTCGTATTTTTCTTAATCTTGGAATACTCTTATCTTTGTTTATTTTGTAAGTATATTCACCATGCTTCTATTCAGACTCATATCCGTTTTATTTTTCTTCCTATACGTATTTCTGATACCCGCCGATCAATAATTCGTGAACTACTCAGAATAATCGCAAAGAACAAAGAATAATGTTATTATATACATCCCAACACGTACTCTAATTAAACCTATCAGAGCATTCCTTCTTTTTCTTGTCCTCATGCTTGCTTGAATTCTGTCGCGTTGGCGACGGGGGGAGGGCTGGCCTGGGTCCTACGTGCGGTTCCCCAGGCTCAGCCCGCCCCGCCAAACACTGCAGGGGGGGGTCCTCCATGAGGACCGCCTCCGCCTCCTGCTGCGCAGCCAGCTGCTGTGCAGCCAGCTGCGCCACCATTTTCATCTCAATTCCCGTCTGCGCCGATGGGCGCCCGCCTGGAAATTGCATGGACTAGAGGTGATGTCCTAACGACATCCCCCCACGGTCCATGGGGTTCCAGGCCGGCGCCTCTTGCAAGACATGTGCCGCCATTCTGGCGGCAAGTTGAAATTGCTGTTGCTGTTGCTGTTGTTGTATAAAAATGCTGGTGATAATGACAGTGCTGGTGATAATGGAATTGCTGCCCATTGGCGTAAAAATCCAAGAGCTGCCGGAGCTCCAGCTTTAGTCAGAGCAGGACTTCACGCTTCTTGGCCTGCCGAGAAAGAAAAGAAGAGTGAAAAAACAGTAACGCAACCAAGCCGGCAGCGCGTATTTTGGACAGCGTGGAACGGTGGGAGTTGCAAATGAGTTCCATTGCCACCGACGGCCCCGCCAGCTCCAAGCCAAGCTTGCAGCATCGCATTTCGATTCGAGCACGCTTAGGGCTTTGAGGGTTTAGGGGAACCCTCCAAGATGTCTCCAGCCTCACGTCACCTATCTCAAGTTATGGGGTTTAGGGTTGAGGGTTGTAAGAGGGGTCTGAATTCTGAAGCTCTGAGAGACAGGAGGTTTACCCTAAACCCTAAACCCTGAAGCTCTGAGAGACAGGAGGTTTACCGAGCGGGGGTCTGCAATATCAGGCCTGAGATCTTAAGGCTCCTGGCTAGAGGAAACTACAGGTGGGGAGTTCAGGGTCTATAGGGCTTCTATAAGGCGTCTATAAGGTACATAGACCTTCTATAAGGCTCCTATAACGGTAACTACCCACCTGAGAATGTCCTGGACTGGGCTTCAGAGCTCAAGATAGAAGCCTGAGTAGTTACCAATACTATTCCGTAGGGCTCCTTACTATGCCCTAAACCCTAAACCCTAGACCTTCAAGCCCAGGAGAAATAGAAACGCCAGAAACCCAAACCTTCTTCTACTTTGACATAGCCCAAAGCCCTAAACCCTGAAGCCTAAAGCTATTGCGATGCTTCCCAGAGCAAGGCCTCTTCGGTGCAGGGCTTTGGGATTAGGGGCTTAGCGGTTTAGGGGTCTAGGGTTTAGGGGTTTTGGGGGGGTTATAGTAAGAGGGGGCCTCGCGGCTTGGTTTAATTAGGGGTTTGCAGGGGCTTAGGGGCTCGGGGGTTGAGGGGTTTAGGGTTGAGGGTTTAAGAGGGGCTTAGGGTTTAGGGTTTGAGGTTTTGCCTGGGGTCAACTTTCAGATTCCAAGCCTAGGGCAGCCTCAGGAGACCACCACAAAGAAAAGTAGCAAAGCACTTTTCCCTAAGCCCGAAACCCTAAAACCTAAACCCTAAACCCCATAACTTGAAATAGGTGACGTGAGGCTGGAGACATCTTGGAGGGTTCCCCTAAACCCCAAACCCCATCGTGCGCTACTGCCCATAAGGAGGTGATCGCCAGCGCCAATGTCGGCACATGCTGCCTGACCCCAAGGGCAACCTTTCTATACACGAGTGAAGGATGCATGCNNNTGCAAGCATCGACCTTAGATTGCAGAG